CTCTTTCCCGTCAGTGGGACAAGTGATTTATATAATCATCAATTAATAGTGGATTTTCACATCTGGGCCAGACCTCGTGGTTTTTCCCTTATGGGTTTTTCACGTAAAAAACTTCTGGAATCATCACTGTTATTTTCTCTTTCATCTTTGTGTGTGCTAAACTTTCATACAACGCTAAAAATTTATTCTGTTACTCTACCGCTACGAATTTTCCAGCACACATCAGTTATATTTGATGCACAAGTCTAAATACTCCTCTAAATAATGCATAACAATCAACGTGAAATTTATTAAAAAAAAGGTGAGAGTTTGCAAGAAAAACTTGTCTGAAATTCCCACTGAACAAAACATAAACCACATGACACATGGCATAAAAAGGAGCGAAGAAAAAGATTAGAAAAAATATTTGTTATATTATAACATTTCTAAACAATATATAAAAGACGAGATTTTTGTGATTGAAATTTATCTAATAATACTTAACAATTAATAGAGAGAGAAGTTTATATAAACAAATGATTTTTGTGTCCACAAGCAAACATATTCACTCAACGCACATCATGTCTACTCTAAAAATGACTTCTTAAGCTCATGATTCATGCATGCATGCATGCATGTAATTGGTTCACTACGACACCCTAAAATTTGAAACCAGGGAATGTATGTGCCCATCCTAAGAAAATTTAATGATTTCCTATAGAGCCATCAATCTACAAACCCGTTAGTCCAACTAGCCAGCATTTACAAAAGTTTAATGCTGACAAACATATTATTATAATAATCATGCTTGTTTCATATATTACAAGCCAAACATTTTTAGGAGTATTTTAGCAATGAATCATTGTTAAGTATATTTAAGACAAATTTGTAGAAATAAAAGGTTTTGCATTTAATAGGTGTAAGCAAAGTTAAATATTGTAACTAAGGATAACAATTGAATGTTTAGAAGTTTGTGCATTAATAAATCCTTGTAAAGCTGCCAATCACATCTCCCAAATGTGATAATGTGAAATGCATTGACTAAATTAGTACAATTCATACGGATTTATAAATAGTAAAACACATTAAAACGTAGCAAGACATACACCCCTAACTAGGAATGATTTGTTTATATCTTAATTAGTAAAAAGTCTCATACTTGTAAACATTGCAAGTAGCCTGCATTTTGATCATGATGCAGATCTTCCCACTTTAAGACACAATATTGCACAAGTCTTATATACAAAAGAATCTAAAAAAATTACAAATTCAACACATCACACAAAGACCATTAAACAATGCCAATACTCAGTTAAACGCATTCTTGTAGCTAATGATTTTATAATATGCATTAATTTTATGCTTCATACTTAATATTAATATTAATGCACTATGTAATATTTTTGCTATTGGCTTTCACATGGTTAAATGAAATCTTCAACTCATTTTTAAAAGCTTCAGTCTCATATAAATTTTGTTTAATTATTACCTATATATCGATTTGTGTAGAAAATTAGTATATTTTTAATAAAATTACTTTTATTTTATTGTAAGAAATAAATTCCTTCAACACAGCTACAAGCCTACTTCGGTAGTGGTGATCCTCATTATTTTGTCACACCATTTATGTGGTTACGATTCAAAAGTTATTATAATTTTAAAATAAAAGTTGTATTATAATATGATTACATAAAGAGACGATAAAGTGTTAAAAACTTCAAAATCCTCTTATTAATTTCTTATATAATATTACATAAAGCTTGTAGTTGATTTAGGTTTAATCTCATCCTAAAATTCAACAATATAAACATATAAATATTAATCTAAAAGAAAGAATGTATTAGAGTTATTTCCTAATTAAAACAAAATAAGATGAAGGTGAAGACACGATAAAAAGGAAGAACACATCAACACACCCTCATAATCTATTGCTTAGCTTCATCTTTAATAACTTTGTCGATAACTTTATCGAATGTATCAAGACGGTAAGACTAGGCATTTGACAACTACTAAAGCATGAGCATTTCCATCTTAGATTTTGAATTAGGATGCATATTGTAATAACTTGAACTCTCACTAATAGAGATATTGTCTTCTTTTGTCGAATAGCCTCACGGTTTTGTCCCATTGGTATAACTTCCCAGAATGTCACCCATTCTAAGACTGAACCAAGATAAACACACTTATGTTTGGAGTTTCTGATGAAAATTTAATTATTACACCAAAAGACATCTTGATGTTTACGAGCTTATCTTCATTTTACTTAAGAGGTTTTACAATCTCCACGACTTAAGTATGTCCTTGTCAGTGCTCTTCACCCATATTTACACACGAGAAATATATTTCAATATCTAGACTTATGTAATGCCCTGACAAAATTGTAATAGCCCAAACTCTCACCCATCGAGATATTGTTTGCTTTGGCATAATGGCCTCAAAATTTTGCCCCATCCATGAAACTTCTTAGAAATGCTCCTACATGAGCATGCTTAACTTTAGAGCTTTTGATGAAATTCCAAACATTACATTAAGGCATCTCAAAATGTAAGAGTTTGACTTTATTTTACTTAAGAAGTTTCACATAGATATCATGCCCTAAAAAGTTAGCCATGTCCCTCTCCTCCCACTATTTGGTTGCATCTTCTAAGCCTTGAAGTTTGTTAGGTCACTTCCCTCATGCCACAACTACTTGCTCTTCCCTTAGTTGCACATACATGACAACGACTTTATATATGCTTAAAAATATAAGATATTGATACTGCTGCTAGAAGATTTAAATCCACGGCAACGACGCCAAAAACTTGACAACGGTTATAGATTTGATAAAGATGTGTATAAAATATTCAATAATTGCAAAGTCACACTTATCAACGCAAGTATACGTATTGCTCAAGTAATACAGGGCTCTAATGGAGTTCTGGATAT